CTAGACAGAGGTTGATGGAAGATTGTAACACCTCAGAAATAGTTCTGAGGTCTGAGCTACTCAATCTTGTGTGGACATGCCATGAGATTCACTTGAATTGTCGCTTGCCACTCACAGAAATCTGCAAGTAACCATTTAGGGATGAAACATATCTGGGGATCTATGTGATCAAAATACCTGTTCTGAAAAATATGAGTTAAATAGTTGTATGGAAGAAACATAAACACTAAGACTTTTATTTTGTGTTCCACTGGAGTTAGTAATTACCACATGAGATCATGCACCCTTGATCAAAATCCCAGCAACATAGTCAACTTGAAAGTGTATTATTTTGACATCATTATTATGACTGGAAATTCTTTGCTTCACATAGGAGACAAAGAAAGTTGAAAGAAATGAATCAGGCTGATTCTAGTACAAATTAGTTCTATTTTGGATTTAAAAGTTGGATCTTCACAGTGCATAATCTTATTCAATAATTAATATATCTGTTGAGATCTTATAGTCCCTATTTTTAGGTACTTTTTGATCTTTTAAATTTTAGAAACAAAATATAAATTTATAAATGCATTAAAATAGTTTTTCAAGAAGAGCACAAGAAAAATTTTTTATTTCAGTGGGTAGCTTTAAAGAGAAGACAAGGAAGTTGTCTCTTTTTTTAATATTTACTTAAGCCACAAATATTGGTACACTCCTGCTTAAAAGAAATTCTATCTCAAGTAACAGAATAAATATTTCCTCTAATATTTTGGCTCATTGTGTATGACAACAAATGCCAATTCTCCAGGGTCCAGTTCCCCAAAGTCAACCACTTAGATCTGAGACAAACAACAGGGTCATAAATATAGTTTCAGTGTCTGAATCATCCATAAAGCCTTCTCAAACTCCTTCCAAAATTTTTGATCATTTGAAGAATTTTAGTTGCCTTATTTCTTGAATTCTGTTTGGCGAGAGTCATCCACTGTTGTCAAAGGAGTGGTAAAATTTTTAATAAAATTTTAATTTCGAGGGAGATGGTGCATGTAGTATATCAATAATTGTAAAGAAGTAATTGATTTAAAATGTACAACAAGTAATTCTGTCTTTGGGTGAGTACCTGTAACACTGGGCATATTTCATTCTCATTTGATGAATATTGGTATCTGACAAACCATTTGGAATGGATAGTTATAGTGAGTTTAAGGGAAGTAATATAAACAATTTAGCCAATGGTATTTTTTAAATGTGACAAATCCTACTTTTAACATCATCTTACTGAATTTGAAGTTATATATTTAAATGCTATCTTAAATACATGTATGTGGATGTTTTAAATACATATTCAGTGTAAGTTTTGACTTTTGAAATTTAATCAATTCTTGAAAAATAGGGTAATATATACAGATATAAAAAACAAGTGCAATGAATAATGTGGAAATGTTTGTAAAGATGATAATAATATAGGTTCTGTATTACGTGTACCCTTACACTGCTTTGTTTTGTTTTGTGTTTTTCTCTCTTTCCTCTTAAATTAAAAAAATATAGGTGCAAGAAAAATACTCCAGGCAAAAATATAGTGATACTTGGAACATCCACAAAATCTTTTTAGAAGAGTAGGTTAAAAGAAACTCACTATTCAAACAGGATATAATAGAAAGCACTATCAGAGAAATAGGACAATCTTATTGGACTGGAAAAATAAATATTTTATACAATAGAATAGTAAAAGGATGGTATCAAATAGGCATTATTTTAGACAAAATATTTTATAAAATTTCTGAGTACATTATAGAAACCCATGTGAAGTACTTTTTAATTGCCAGCATTTCCGATTAAAGGGCACCCACAAACACTTGCATTATTGTATTCAAGGTTAAAGATTAGGATTGGTGCATCATGGGCTATAAGAGCTATCATGTGTAAATCATGGCTGGTGACAGTGGGAAGCAAAGAAAAGACATTTTGATTGTATTTGTTTCTCATTTTTCCTGAATTTGTAATAGTCATAAATTGAGATTATAAAATGATAAACACTGAGAAAAATATGAAAATGTTTTATCAATGGGAAAATTAAGATAATATATCACTATCTGGGAAACTCAATGCAATTCTAAAATATAAAATGAAAGTTGATTCACATAAAACAAAAAGCACTACAGAATGTAAATCATAGGATGTCTTTTCTTTCTATTCCCATAAACAAAAGTAGTTGATCTATTTCAAACCCAATATCCTCCATGGTACACTGATTAAATAGCTCTAAATTACCCATGACTGTTTTCACAAAATGATTACATCATGACATCATTACAGCAATTATTATGCTCTGTTTTGTTTGTAAGTACCTGTTCTGTTTGCAAACTGTTAAATAGGAAGTGAGGTCCTTGCTCTCTAATTTGAGAGATGTGGAAAGAGAATCCTTTTTAAAGTTTTTGAACTCTTCCACATTGTGATGACTGTACTTACAACATTAAAATCATGTGTGAAGCATAATGTAAATACTCTTGTAGAGAGGAGTGAAAGAATGTTGTTAAGAGTATCAACAAAATTCCCAGCTCATAATGGGATATGGAAAAGTGGAATCATCAATAATTCACAGTAATGTTATGGGCAATTGAAATTATAGCTAGGGTTCTAGGAAGAGAGCCCCGTAGAAGGCAAGAAATATGGTCCATCTTCTTAGGATGACAGAGTGCACAGTTAGTGGTGGAAACGAGAGGGTCAGGCATACAATAACAAAAATAACAAATTCATAATCTTTAATTTTGTGCAAAAATTGTAAGCCTGTAGGCATAGAGTATAAGGAATAAGCACAAACAAGGGAAAAATTTTGGCATGGTAGTGAACTGAGCTAAATTCATAAAGCTAACTCCATGTTGTAAGTCAGAAATAAAGCCAGTAACAAAAGTTATTTGAATTCATTCTGTCTGGACTTGGAAGATGTTCTTGGGATACTGAACCTGTACTTACTAAATTGCTAAAGTACTGTTCTGGTACTTTAGTATCTCAGAATGATTAATGTATCAAGAATGTTGTCATAGGAAGACTCTCCAGGTTAAGTTTTAACCATTATGAGAAGCAAATGACAGAACAAATGAACGAAACAGCCAATATTTTACCCAAGAAAAAACAGAAGGCCAAGGCAAGTATCTGAAAAGTTTGATATTCTGTATTGTGAGAAAATATTGAGAAAATCTTTGTTTTCAAATTGTATCAATGCTTCTTTTGACCTTGTTTTAGAGAGGCTTAGTTAGTTATTTAGTTACTATTAGACAGTATATGATCTAACTGTTCAGGAATTCTGTCTCCATGCCAACTAGCAGAGTTTTATTGACACCTTGGTTTCATCAGGCTTCCTTGTAGTAGACACAGGTTTTCCTCAAAATTCTCAACCCATGTGGCTGTAATCTGATGTTATGGTTAATTCATTGTGTCTATTTGAGAAGTTTAACTAAGTGAGTCAGCAGGGGGTCAGGCCCTTACTTTGTGAACATCCTCATCCTGTGCAAGAGGGCACAGGATGGTGTGAGTGCCACATCCCCCTGGAGGATGCTTACTATGTAGGAGGGAAGAAGATAGGCTTGCTGTTCTCCCTTTTTTGCTCTTGTTGCTTTTGCTTTCTTCTGCTGCCATGAATTGTAGCCCCAGAGCCATGTTTCACTCTTCCTTGGAGCCAGTTGATTACAGACTGAACCCTCCAGAAACTGTGAGCTAAATGAACCTTACTTTTATTAACTTTGGGTGTCAGGTATTTTGTCTCAGCAAAGAGAGAAAAGTAAGCAAGATACTCAGTAAAAGCAATCCAAGTCCCTGAAAACAAAACCAACAGTTCTTTTATCAACACAGGAGGGAAACAGAACATTCACAAAAGTCCATGCAATCCTCTATGTCATGGAAAGTGTGATGGGGGCACTGGTGCTGTGTACCTGGGAATGGTAGCTGTAGATTTCATTTATAGGAGACTGAGTTGCTACAGACATGGCTTCAGGTTGGGCCAGCCCTCAGATATGCTTAAGATGGATACAACATATTTATTGGGGCTTCACAACCACTTGCAGAATCAGTGGTGCATTCAGAATTCATCATAAGAAATATCTAATAATCAGAGACTTGCTGGTAAACAAAAGCAGAATGTTCATACATTTCAGTATTTTATATTCTGTCTTTCATCTTTTTCCATATTTATGCTAGTAGCAGGAAAAGGTTTGTGGTTCTTTTGGAAGAGATGGTACTTATACCACTCTGCTTAAACAGTTTATAATTTTAAAAAATTACTTATTTCTGTTTAGTGCGACATGCACAGAACTGAACTGTATGGCCAACAGAAGGTGACCAATATTAAACTTCTAAAGATATCTCCAGAATACTTTGTCAGATCATTATGTTTCATCATTTAAAGCCTGTCAGTATCTATACAGTAGATAAAATTTGAAATAATATTATTAGAAATACTGATCAAACTATCTAAAGTCCCTCTTAAGTAGATATAACTTATTTATAATAATATATGCCAGGAAGGGGTGATAATTCAGTATATCACCACACATCTGGACATATCTGACAAGATGCATTTTTTATCCCTCAAAATTATTTGCCATATTTTTATGTTAAAATATTTGATCATTTTAGTGACTCCACATCCGTACTCAAATGGCTGCTATGCTTCATATGTGTTTCACTTTGCTCTTTCTCCTTTGATTTCTTCAAAACAGGATTTACTCTGATTATTCTCAGTAGTACTAACGTTTATTATTGATTGGTACACAACAGTAATGCTTATAATACAATTTTATAGATAAGATCACTGAATTGTTGAAGAATACACATACTTTCTCAGTGCAACAAGTCAAAAAGTAAGCCAGTGATGCTCCAAGGAGAAGCAGAGCTTTCGCGGAGGCCAATGGACCACACTGCTCTTCATTGGCTTACATGCACCCTCCTCTCAGCTTCTGATGACTCATTTTCTCAAGTTTCATTGTTCAGTTTTCTTCCACTTCATCTCCTTTTCCTGATTAAATGCCATGACGCTTAATATGGGAAATCAGAGCTCTGTGACTGCATTTGTCCTGGTGGGGTTCTCAGAATATCCACATCTCCAGCTACCCCTCTTCCTGGTGTTCCTGACCATCTATGTGGTCACTATGGTGGGAAATTTGGGCATAATTGTGGTCAGAAAGATCAATTCCAAACTTCATACACCCATGTACTTCTTCCTCAGCCATCTTTCCTTTTTGGATATTTGTTACTCCAGTGTGTTTACACCCAAACTGTTAGAAATCTTGGTTGTGGAAGAAAGAACCATCTCTTTCAGAGGATGCATGACACAGTTTTTCTTTGGCTGCGCATGTGTGTTTACAGAGATGTTTATGCTGGCAGTGATGGCCTATGACCGGTTCGTGGCCATCTGTAACCCCCTCCTCTACACAGTCGCTATGTCACCTAAGCTCTGTGCTCTCCTAGTAGCAGGGACATACATGTGGGGTGGACTGTGTTCCTTAACAATCACATATTCCCTTGTGCAGCTGTCCTACTGTGAGTCTAACATCATAAATCACTTTGGCTGTGAGTACTCTGCCATCCTCTCTGTGTCCTGTTCAGACCCTTCCTTCAGCCAGATGATATGCTTAATAATTTCTATAGTCAGTGAAGCTGGCAGCCTCCTGAGCACTCTGGCCTCCTATGTCTTCATAGTTGTGTCCATCACCAGGATGCCTTCCAAGGGTGGACTCCAAAAGACTTTGTCTACTTGCACCTCCCACCTGACTGCCATCAGCATCTTCCATGGCACCATCCTACTTCTCTACTGTGTGCCCAGCTCCAAGAGATCCCAGCTGCTGATCAAAGTGGCAACTGTGCTTTATACAGTCCTGGTCCCCATGCTGAATCCCCTCATCTACAGCCTCAGGAACAAGGATGTGAAAAACACAGTCCGGGGGCTGATCAGAACCATATTGCATTCTCAATCCACATAATTCAAATAAATGCATGTTTACTTGTGTCTTAATTACATCTTATGTTTTCATATATATATTTTATTTGATACTTTAGCTTTATGTTAATTTATTATTGTATGGTAATCAAGATTTTGAAAATGCCAAGATTTTAATGTTTAAAATTCCTTACTACTTGCTATGATTTGATACAAATGTATTACCTTTTATCAATTTCATCTGAGTTTTAGAATTAATTATAGCAAAACTTTGTGAATAATTGTTTTGGCAAGCATTCTTCAAGATGAGAAAATATTTCTCATAAATTTGACTTGCTAAACTGGTGATGCTCTGCACTGTGAGTAGTACATGATGCTGAACAGCACATGATCAAAACAGAGCCATGGGTTCTGCTTTTCTCTCTTCTTCATTTTTCTCTGTCTCTGTCTGTTTCCGTTCTTGCCACTAGTTCTGCATTGCACTTTCTCTCTCTTCAGGATTGTGGGTGTTTGTCTCCCAATAGCAAGAGGTTATGCAGGAAATCTTAGCTTCACAAGAGGAAGATGAGATTAGGGAGATAAATAAAATGTGGGGAAAAGTGCAAAATTTTGTAGAAAAACATCACCCAATTAAGGCTGTAATAGAGTGAGTGATGAATCTCTTTCACAATAATACAATGTCACATTTTCATGAAATCTTCAAAAAGTTGCAAAAGCAAGTGTCATTGGATAGAGTTCTTGTTAAAGTTTCACAGAAAGAAAAGAATTCCATTGATCTTATAAGTTACAGTGACTCCCTTAATGACAGTGAAAATCATCCTATGCAATAACCCTCCTCTTTTTTGTCTGTTAAGTGAGCTTTCTTGTCTGTTAATTTGGATTTGTATCCAAAAGAAAAATAAATAAATAAATAAATGAAATAATAACCACTAAGAATACGGTGACAATGGTATTTCAATGGCAAATTTAAGATAATATATCACTTCCTGGGAAAATCAGTGCAATTTTAATGTATAGAATGTAAGTAAATTTACATAAAACTAAAAGCATTGCATAATATAAATCATATGATATCTGTTCTTTCCACTCCCATAAACATAAGTAGATGATGTATTTCAAACCCAGGGTCCTCCACAGTGCATTATTTAAATAGCTCTAAATTACACCATCACCGTTTTCTCAAAATGATCACCATGACATCATTATAGCAATTAATGCACTCTGTTTTCATTCTTCAGTTTGTTTATAAAGTGTTAAATAGGTGGAGGGGTCCTTGCTTTCCAAGTTGAGAGATGCAGAAAGAAGATTCTTTTTAATGTCTTTGAGCTCTTCCACATCTTGATGGATGTTTGTAGTTACTAAATTAAAATGATATGCTAACCCCACTGTGAATACTCTTCCAGAGAGGGGCTGAAAGAAAATTAACAGAGTATCAACAAAATTCCCAACTCATAATGTGATATATAAATGTGGAATCATCAATAATTAACAGTAATATTAAGGGCAATTGAAATTACAGTGAGTGTTCTAGGGAGAGAACCTTGCAGAAGGCAAGAGATATGGTCCATCTTCTTAGGATAAAATGGTACACAGTCAGTGGTAGAAGTGAGTGGATCAAGCATGCTATAACAGTAATAACAAATGCATAATCTTTAACTTTGTGCAAAAATTGTAAGCCCTTAAGCATAGAGTGCATGGATTAAGAGCAATCAAGGGGAAAAATGTGGTGTGGTAGTGAACTGAGCTAAATTCATAAAGCTAACCCAAGGTTGTAAGTCAAAAACAAAGCCAGTAACAACAGTTAATTGAGTTCATTCTGTCTGGACTTGGAAGATGTTATTGGGATACTGAACAGGGTTCCTGGTACTTTAGCAGCTCAGAAAGGTTAATGTATCAAGAATGTTGTTGTAAGAAGTAGATTAACTTTTAACCACTGTAAAAAGCAAATGATAGAACAAATAAACATAACAGTCAATATTTTACCTAGAAAAAAAAGCTTGCAGCTTCTGGGTTCACTGGAGCAGCATGGTGGGTCTGGGGCAACGGTGTCGGCCTCCCAGTTCCCAGCTGTGCTTGGCGGACTGTGGAGTTCTAAGCAAGCAGGTCGATGCCACCAATTCCAGAGGCCTGGTGGCCTGGTGTAAGTACCCCGGGCAATTTCCCCCAAGCCCAGCTAGTTTGGGAACCTCTCTTGGCCCCAGCTAGGGAACTTCACAGATTCTGGGTGCACTGGGGCAGTGCAGAAGGTCTGGGGAGCTGGCATCCCCTCCCCTCTTCCGGCTGTGCTTGGTGGACTGTGGAGTGCTAAGCAAGCAGGCGGGCACCATGGGTTACAGAAGCAGGGCTTGAGCCATCTTGCTCAACCCCCAGTGATGCTCTATCAATCCAGGGAACTGGGTGCTAGAGTCCCAGGAGCTGAGGGCATAGAAGAGGATTTCCAACAGACCCCGAGGAAGCCTTAGAATGACACTTGAAACACTTGAAACACAGAGATACAGGAAAATGACAAAACAAAAGACCAAATTACAATTTCAAACCTCCAGCCATTCCAAAGAAACCTTAGGAGTGATGTACATAGAAGAAAATATATGCCATACTCCTCAAATACCAACATAATAGCAACTGAAATAAACAAGCAACTATGGGAAGCTTTAAAGGAATTCAAACTAGAAATAATCTCCCAGGTAAAAGAAGAAATGAAAAAGAAATGAAAGAGATGGTGGAGTTTCCAGCAAGCAGGTGGGCGCACACTATCCCCAGAGCCAGCCTATTTGGGACTCTTGCACCGTCTGGGTGCAGAGTAAGGGCTGGGCAGATCTGGAGTGCCTGCATCCACCTCTCCTTGTGTCTGGAGGACTGTGGATTTCTCAGCAAGCAGGCGAGCATCACCAGTTCCAGAAGTCCCACGGCCTGTGGTAAGTGCTCAGTGCAGTCTGCCAAAAGCCCAGACTCTTCAGGACCCTCAAGCCTTCCGGGTGCAGTGAAGTGGCTAAGTGGGTCTGAGGCACCTACATCCACCTCTCCATTCCGGCTGTGCTTGGAGAACTGTGGAGTTTCGAGCAAGCAGGCGGGTGCATAGTGTCCCTGGAGCCCAGCTTATCTGGAACTACAGAGTTCTAAACAGGCAGAAGACGGCCACTGGTTCCAGAGGCCCAGCAGCCTGGGGGAACTGGATGCCAGAGTCCCAGGAGCTGCAAACATAGAAGTGGATTTCCAACAGACCCTGAGGAAGCTTTTGAATAACACTTGAAACACAGAAATATAGGAAAATGACAAAACGAAAGACCAAATTACAACCTCAAACCTTCAGCTCATCTCAAGAAACCCTAGGAGTGATGTGTATAGAAGAAAATATATGCCATTCACCTCAAATATCGGACATAATAGCTACTGAAATTAACAAGCAACTCCAGGAAGCTTTAAAGGAATTCAAACTCGAAATAATCTCCCAGGTAAAAGAAGAAATGATAAAAGAAATGAAAGAGTTTCTGAATATATCTAAAGAAAACACAGTTAAAAAATTGGAGGAACTAAACAAAAAGATAGAAACCCTAGATGAGCAATATAAGAAACAAACAGAATACATAAAGCAGATGCACAGAGATATACTGGAAATCAAAAACTCCGCTAAAAGCTGTAAAAACCACCTCGATGAAAGTGAAGATAGAATTTCAGACCTTGAAGTCAGGATTGCAGCTAGTGAACAGGAAAGGAAAAATCGTTTAAAAATAACAAGGAATCAGGAAATAACAATTCAACAACAGCAGGATGATGCAAAGAAAAACAACATAAGATTGATGGGGATTAATGAAAAAGAAGGGGACAACATAAAGGATGTCAAGAGGATATTTAGAGAAGTAATAACTGAAAATTTCTGAAGCATGAGATCAGAAACTGACATCAGGTTCAGTGAAACCTGTAGAACTCCAAATAGTCATAACCAAAATAAAACTACACCCAGACATATAATAATCACCATCCCAGAAATCCAACACAAGAATAGATTATTAAAAGCTGTCAGAGAGAAAAGACAGATCATTTATAAAGGAAAACCTATCAGAATCACAGCAGACTTCTCAGCACAAACAATAAAGTCAAGAAGAGCATGGAGTGAAGTATTCCAGATCCTAAATCAAAATGATATCCAACCTAGACTGATGTACCCTGAAAAACTGTCCTTCAAAATGGATGGACAATTAAGATAGTTCCATGAAAAAGCACAGCTGAAGAACTTCATGAACACCAAGCCAACCCTGCAAAAAATATTGAGAGATAGTTTAGATACACTTAGGAAAAAAACACTAAGCAAAGCAGAAAATTAAACAGAACAGAAAGATAAAGATGCAACAGCAGAAAGATAACATGTCAACAATAAACCAACATATATTAGTTATAACCATTAATGTAAATGGTCTCAATGCACCAATTAAAAGAAACAGACTGGCAGAATGGATCAAGAAACAAAATCCAACCATATGCTCTCTACAAGAAACCCATCTAACCCAAAAGGATACTCACAGACTGAAAGTCAAAGGATGGAAAACAATACTTCATGCAACAGAAATTGAAAAAGGGTGGGGGTAGCTATTATGTTTGCAGACAAACCCATAAGATCAGAAGAGAAAAAGAAGGTCACTACATACTGGTTAGGGGAAAACTTCAAGAGGAAGAGATAACTTTCTTAAATATATATGCACCAAATTCCAGAGCACCCAGTTATATAAAACAAATATTAACAGAGATGAAAAACCAAATTAACAGTAACACAATTCTACCATGCTCTTGCTCTTCTGTTTCCATTGGCTCTATCATGTTGTTGTACCTTATTGGATTTTATTACGTGTGAAAGTATAAACAACTTTCCTATGGAAAATGAGATAATATAGTAGCCAATGTTTGTTTTCTGTTATTTGGTTCTGAAAACCCTGTAATACTTTCATTCTCTTGAATGTTTTTATACTATTTTGTTATGTTTGATACTATTGTATATGAAGTTATACTGAACTATTTCAAAGAAAGATACATCGTGGTAGTTACTGTTAA